AGAGAGAGAGAGAGAGAGAGAGAGAGAGAGAGAGAGAGAGATATGAGAGAGATATCTCAGGAATAATAAGGTCTTTTCTGAAAAGCAGCACTACTACTCAATATCAGAGGTTCCTTTTATCTGAGGATATCAACTACTTCTTTTTAAAAAAGCTTTTCTCATGCTGAGATAATTGGAAAGATTTATACTTGTATAGTTGACCTTCCATATCTACAAGTTTGCATCCATGGGTTCAACCGACGGTGGATCAAATATAATCAAAAGAAAAAAATGCATCTATATTGAATGTGTACAGAAGGCTTTTACTTGTCATTATTCCCTAAACAATATAGAATAACAATTATTTGCAGAGCATTTACATTAGGTGTTACAAGTAATTTAGAGGTGGTTTAAATTATATGGAAGGGGCTGAGCACTTATAGCTCAGTGGCAGAGCACTTGCCTCGCATGTATAAGGCACTGGGTTTGATCCTCAGCGCCACGTAAAAATAATTAAACAAAACAAAGGTATTATGTCCATTTACAACTAAAGCAATTTTAAAAAATAAAGTATGTGGAAGGATGTACATAGGTTTATGTGCAAATACTTAGCCATTTTATAGAAAGGACTTGTGCACCTGTGCATTTTGCTATCTGCAGAGGGTCCTGGACTCAATCTTCTATGAAAATTGAGGGACAACTGTAAAGCAGAGAGAATATATTTTCACATTTCTGCAACCAGTAGCCACACCAGAAGGAAGACCAGATTCTGCTCAGTCTTTGCCGAGGGTATCCTGCACCCTTTTTCTTTGCTCCATAACTAATTCTGATGCAAGAAAGTCCCATCTGTCTTTGATTGTTGACTCTGCTACTGGATTCCTAGCAAGTAGCTTTTCTAAACTTGAGCAACGATGCTCATTCCTTGTGAAGATGCTTTTCCATAAACCAGAATTTGTAGAAGGGCAACAAATTATTGCATTCTTACCAACAGCTATGAAATGCAATTAGATTTTAGTCTTTGAGGCACTTTCAGATTGGGTCAGCTGGCTCTACCTGCATCAAAGAGAGGTCAGGTCCCAGGAGATAGACAGTGATGAGGTCACTTGCAGCCTCAGTTAAGGATTAAATCTAAAAAGAAATCGAGGCAGCTGCTTGTACTTATCCAGCATTTAGACTGGCTCTTTAATTCAGGGCCAATGGAAATAGCACTCATTGAGCCTAACATTTACTAAATGCTTACCAGGTATTGGGCTCTATGCTGCACATACACGATCTTATTTAATCCTGCAATAACAACACGAGGTAGGTTCTGTACTTTTATCTTTGGGAAGACTAAGGCCCAGAGATGTTAAGTAACTTGCCCATTATCTCATAGTTAGTAAGCATTGGAACCCAGGGTCATTCATCAGGACCAGCTACTTAATTTATGGGGTCCAGTGCAAAATGAAAATACATTCCCTTGTTAAAAGGAACGTCAAGCTGGCGGCAGGAGAGCATTAAACCAAGCATGCAGGCCTTCTCAGAGTGAGGCCTGGTGTGATTACAGTTTGCACATCCATCAGGCAGACTGCCTGCACACTCTTAACCAAACAGCGGGGGCTGAACACTACATAGCTTGGTAAAGATTTAACTTTGGTGTGTAAATAGCAAATGGAAGCTTCTATGTGTGTTGTGTGTCTTGGTTATGAATCCTCTTCAAACACCAGCTCTCTTCACAAAAGACTTGGGACTATCTTCTAGCTCATGGTGACAGAGCTGAGGCCCCCCTGGTCCTGCTCATTGGTAACAGCTTCTTTGGGTGTGTCCCTGCTGGATGGTGTCTTTTGCTAAAAATCACCAAAAGGCATTTGATGGAGGAACTTCGTGGACACCTTGTGCTTTACTTAAATCCAGTTCTAGTGTTCTGGGCTTGTTCTATGAACAATTGCATGTCTAGCAGCTGTCACCCCACTTATTTCTCAGCCTTGATTGCCTCTAGTTGTCCAAGACACACCCATACCTCAGATCCAGCCGTGGGCTCACCTGAAGCATTGAGTCAGCTCAGCTCAAGGTACAGACATTTTGTCCCTTGTCCTGGTGCCATGGGAGAACAGCGGGGTTGCCAGAAGGAAAATAGGATCAACCATCTGTTTTTCCCTGGGGCTGCTTAGTTTTTCTGTATTGCTTTTTTTTTTAAAGCTTTTTAAAAAAGAAGTAGTTGATATCCTCAGATAAAAGAAACCCACATAAAACCACAGGGTCAGATGATAACTGCGAACCCTTACTGAGTGCTTGCTTTCTACTATGTATTTAATCTTCAGGTGTAATTCATGCTTTACATGTAACTCATTTAATCTTTAAAGGCTTACAGGTAGGAGATTTAATAGTTCCATCTTTCAGAGGAAGGCAGTGAGGCAGGGAGATTGAATAACTTGCCCAGATCTAGGGTCAGTAAATGGAAAAGTCAGAGCAGGAACCCATGCCATCTCTGGTTCTAGAGCCCCAATGTAATGTTCAAACCTTACTTCAGAATTTCACCAAGCATTCTGGAAGGATGGGCAGGGCAGCTTAGCAGGCCTGGTACAGCTAGAGCCCCAAATCCAGGAATGGGGACTTGTCATTGCCTCTGAGAAAAGCTCCAAAGTGCAAATTCTAGAATTTTCCCAGAGTGACAGACAGTGTGGGGGGTCGAACAGTTCCTCCATATAGATCACCAGGGGCATGGAATACAGATGCACACAGACCTGTGCCTGAGATGTAGCTCTGCTCAAAAATGGAGATCACATTCTGTCCCTTATGGAGCAAGTCTCCAAAGAAAGAGGCTGTAAAATATATTTAAAGACTTATAATTACGAGTGCACGTGTCTAAGAATTTCCTTTAATTTTGTTATAGTGTTCTAGCCTGAAAACACTAGCAATTGTAATAATAATAATGATATATATATATATTTGCATTGGCATAGTACTTTACAGTTTGCTGATTTTTCCCTGCATTAAAAAAAAAAAAAAAACAATCTCTCCACCACTAGGAGAAGTTGAGTGGGTCTGAGGACAACCTGATAGCATACGGTCAAATAAGTCTCCATCTCTTCACTTCTATCTGAGGCTCCTTGGGCGACACTGATGTGCCCTGAGCACAGTCCTTTACCCAGGAGGCCCAAGAGCTATGTGCTGGAGGAAGCACATAGCTCTTGTGCCTCATATGCCAATTCATTTGCAACAGGTTCAAAGCTTCAATTTGCCTGCATCTGCAATATGTTTCTTTCTGTAACACCAGACTAAAAGGAAATCTATTTTCCCTAAGATTGGGCAATTGTGAGACAGCCAAGCTAGAGTCTTCAATGTCTCCTTAAGTTTCTAGAATGTTTCCAAGGGTCATCATGAACCCAGTACAAAGTGACATGGTAGAAGCACAATGTTTTTTCCTTTCCAACAGGGCTCGATTAATGTGATTCAGAGTATTCTAGAGAAGAGTGCTTGGCAAAATTATTTTTCCTAAATTCCTGAAAACACTTGAGAAAAGTTACCAAACCCTCCCCCCCCCTTTTTTTTTGCCTGGTTAAATCAAAACGGTGGTGAAAAAAAGAAATATAAGATTAGAAAGTCTTGCTTGAACACTCATTTAAGAAATGGAAATTTAAATAATTTGTGATAAGAGGTTTGAGTGATTCTGGACAGAAAATTGAGAAGGAAAATAGCCGAGTGACTCATCTGCAAAGGGCAAAGTCATCAGCAAGCCCTCTGGGTCTGCAGGAGAATGACTGATAGACAGTCCTCAGCATCATTCTGTGTTATGCTTCGCTTCATTCCCAGTGTGTTCATGACTGTGGACCCAATAACTGACACATGGCTTAGATTCAGAAACAGGCCCCACAGGAGCTACCCAAATTTGGAAGAGTGGTTCAGGGACCAGACTCGTTAGCATAAGATTGTGATGCTGGGGCCTGGGGTTGTGGCTCTGTGGTAGAGTGCTCATCGCCTAGCATGCATCAGGTTCGATCCTCAGCATCACATAAATGTAAAACAAAGATGTTGTATCCACCTAAAAACTTAAGAATAAATATTTTTAAAAAAATTGTGATGCTAACTGGCATGAAAATAAACAACAAATAATTGAGGCTCTTGTCCTATGTAAATTGTGCTAACCCTATAAGCTCTTTTTCTCCCAGTAATACTTTTTTTTTTTTTTAAGCCCCATTCATATGGAATGGGCCCAGTATACAGTTTAGCTACTTATGTAAATGCAAAACTCTTAAGCATGCAGATTTTGGTGTTTTCAAAGCATTTTTCAAAATTCACATTCATAGAAGGATTTGCTTGTATTCAGACCTCCACTTTACCAGCAAACATTGGTTGAGTACGGCTTGCCCTTGGTGCAAGAAGCGGTGGGTGGAGAGGCAGAACTCAGAGATGGTGTGGAGTTCCCAGTAAAGAGAAAAAAAGAGCCAGGCACAGCTAGACTTCCCCGTCAATGGGGGAAAGAGGCACAAAATTCTTTGTTTCTGTTTACTGTTGCCCGGCTTCCCAGGGTAGGACTGTAGAAATCATAGGTCCTATCTGAGTTTGAACTAGACTAGATTTCCTCTCCCATGGTCAGCACCCATTACTCTACAAAAGCAGATGTTGAAGACAGCCACAGTCCGTTCAGGTGAAGAAGATGCCCACCAGATAGTAACTGTGCAGAAGAAGCCCTGTGTAATCCAAACAGGCAATGGTGAAACCTTTCCAGATGTTCAGTTTACCCAAACCCAATCATGTCCATGATGTTTGGTGTTTCTGAAGAGCAACATGCACTATCAGAAATGCAATTCTGGGTGGACACAAATAATTTTTTAAGATTTATGAAAACTTAAAACTATTTAAACTTGGAACAGTGTTTCGTATATGGCCTTCAAAATGGAATTCTATTCCCTAAGACTCATGAAGTGGGGGAGATGAACAAATCTTTTTTTTTAAAAAAAGTCTGTGGATTCTTTGGTCAATAGTCTACTTTCTCTTCCATTTCACCTGTCTTCCTCTCTCTTTCTGATATTTCTCACCAGGGTATGGGAATATTGCTCCAAGCACTGAAGGAGGCAAAATCTTTTGTATTTTATATGCCATCTTTGGGATTCCACTCTTTGGTTTCTTATTGGCTGGAATTGGAGACCAACTTGGAACCATCTTTGGGAAAAGCATTGCAAGAGTGGAGAAGGTCTTTCGAGTGAGTACTGCATCTATTTAACTTTAACCTCTGCCATCTGGTTGGCTTCACTCCAGTAGGATTCAGAAGGCCTTATCAGGGGCACCATTCATTTTTAATGAAATAGTGTGTAATGTGAAGATTGGATTTTCCATTTTGACCAATGGCAATCATAGGTAGCTGGGCCTAAATGCCCTGTTGTTTGAATAGCTTCCTACTATAGAGAGGTATTTCAGGGATGAAGAGACAAGAGGGTTAGGTATAAATTTGCCAACCCAGATTTTATGAAGAGGTGAGGCATACTCAGTGTCTTAGTCTGTTTATGATGCTATAACAAAATTACTGAGACAGGGTGGATTGTAGAGAAGGAAATTTATTTCTCATAGTTCGGAGGCTTGGAGTCTGAGATTAAGGTGCTGGCAGGTTTGGTTGTCTGGTGAGGGGCCTGTTCTCACCTTTCCAGGTGGCGCGGCTTCTAGTGGCATCCTCTGGAAGAGAAGATTGTTGAGTCCTTATAAAGGAGAGGGGATGGAAGGTGAGAAGGATGTAACACTGCATGAGAGCTCTTGTATAAGGGCCTTATTCTGATCCATGAGGTGGAGCCCTCAGAAGCTAATCACCTGTTAAAGGCCTCACCTCTTAGTACTAGCATATGGACCATTAAGTTTCAACACCTGAATCTTAGAGGGGACTCATTCAAACCGTAGCATTTAGCTCTCCTTAAAGATGGAAGATGGTTTCCTTAGTGTTTTTTTTCCATGAAGCAGAGAATTGTAAATCCATCCACTTTGCCACGGGAACTCCTCCACTCCTTTGTATTCCTGTGCACAGTGTCTCTAGGCGGATCCTGATTTCTTTGAGACCAGCCTTCTCTGAACTCTGTTCTGTGCCTCTCTCCTCGGGGCTCCTCCCTGTTCTGCCTACCTGCTGAGTGTTCCCTCAGTAATGACACATGGAGCCTACTTCATGCTAAGGGGTAAAGGATGTTATTGACTTAGTGAGTTTTTTTTTCCCTCTTGGAAATATTTACCTTTACACGACGGACAGAAATCTCAAGCTATGGAATTTGTTTACTAAAGGTGATGTGCCTAGCACCAGTGACAGGCATGGGGGGTGGACATGATTGGACTGAGTTCCCAATACCCTTAGTTGTCACCTATTCATATGCTTTCCTGAGACTCTTGTTTAACATAGGCTTAAGATCATTTCTGCTGTCTTGTTCAGTGTTGGCCTGATTCAAATATTCTAGATCTTCATCAGGAAGTTCTTTCTTATGATGACTTATTATTATTATTATTATTATTATTATTATTTTGTTAATTGGCAGTACTGCGCATTGAACCCAGGGGCACTATATTACTGAGCTACATCCCAGCTTTTTTAAATTTTAAATTTGAGATGGGGTTCTTGCTAAATTGCTGAGGCTGACCTTGAACTTGTGATCCTCCTGCCTCAGCCTCCCAAGTCACCAAGATTAAAGGTGTGAGCCACTGGCAGATGACTTAATTTTTAAAAATAACATTTTTGGGGGGTTTATTTTGATTTTTAAATTGATTCTGTTTAGTTATATATGACAGCAGAATCCATTTTGATATAATTATACAAGAATGGAATATATCTGATTCTAGTTAGAGTCCCATTCTTATGGATGTACATGGAAAACTATATCAGATTCATTCCATTGTCTTTCCTTTGCTTGTCTCCCTTTCTTCCCTTCATTCCCCATTGTCTAATCTACTGTACTTCTACTCTTCCCTTCAATGCCCCCGACTTTATGGTGAGTTAGTTTCCACCTATTAGAGAAAACATTCAAACTTTTTTTTTTTTGTCGGGGGGACTGATTTACTTTACTTAGCATGATAGTCTCCAGATCCAACCATTTATTGGCAAATGTTATTCTTCTTAGTGGCTGAGTAATATTCCATCGTGTATATATACCACATTTTCTTTATACATTCATCTGTTGAAGGGTATCTAGGTTGGTTCCATAGCTTAGCTATTGTGAATTGAGCTGCTATGAATATTGATGTGGCCGTATTGCTGTAGTATGCTGATTTAAAGTCCTTTGGATGTATACTGAGGAGTGGGATAACTGGGTCAAATAGTGGTTCCAGTCCTATTTTTCTGAGGAATCTCCCTACTGCTTTCCAGAGCAATTTACCAATTTGCAGTCCCTCTAGCCACCTTTCCCCCACATCCTTGCCAACATTTATTGTTACTTGTATTCTTGATAATTGCCACTCTGACTGGAATAAGATGGAATCTCGGTGTAGTTTTAGTTTGCATTTCTCTACTTGCTACAAATGTTGAACATGCTATCATACGATTGTTGACCATTTTAGAATCTGGCAATGATGGGTGAAGACAGTAGATGGTGAGCCCTACAGCTGTGCTCCCCTTACCCCCACAGGATAAGAACTCTCAAATTTTGACCTTACGCCTGTCTCTGAAATCATGATTTATACTTTTCTTTAGCAGAAGGCAGGAAAGCTTCTGGCCAGCCGTTCGAGAGCGTGCTATGTTTTAGAAGAGGGAGAAGACTGAGTGAGGCACTGTAGCTGGTCTGGGGTTGCATTGATAAGCCCCGTGATTCTGGGAAAGTTGCCTCAGTTTACCCACTGGCTAAAGGGAACAGAATTCAAATCTGCTTTAGAAGGTTTTGGTGATGATGAAATGAAATAATATGTGGGAAAGAGCTTGGCACAGGGCCACACATGCTGCTTGCTCTGAGAGAAGGGCTTGTTGGCAGGCTAGCCACTGGCTCAGGTTTTATCTGCATAGCTCTGTGTGTGTGAGTTTTTCTGGAATGTCCCACCGTCTTTGCTGCCCGGGTGCTGGCTGCCCAGCAACCTCATTAGAACAAGCACCTGGGCTCCTCGCTGGTCACCATGGAAACCACCACCCTTGCCTTCTCTGCCTCTCAGATGTTTAGGGCTCCCTGAGCCAAGGAGGCCCTCTCTCCAAGAGCCATTTTGAACTTCTCAGAGTGGCCTTTAGCCATGGTCGCATGGCCCTTTGAGTTAGGGAAAAAAAGAAAAAAACAAAAAACGAATCCAGCCGATTGAACGCTCTGAGGAGCGGGATTCACTGGGAGCAATGACGGACCTGGTAGGCTTATTTTTATGTAGCTTCCTGAGCTCTCTGTTTCCTTAGTTGTAGAAGAAAGGGGTGGACTAAATGCTCTTCCAATCTCCCTCGAGCAAATAATAAAATAAAATGAAGAAAATGAGTTTCTTATTCTCAATGAGAGAAGAGGTGTCAGTCATTTTAATCCACCTGCTACCAGATTGGGGGACTGAGTTTTCCCGAATGCATTTCAGACGACAAGCAGAGTGTGCTGTGGAACACACACTGAGCGTGTCCTGCCCCTTAGAGGGACAATCTGGATGGATCCTTCAGTGGACTTGGGGGCAGAGCATTTTTATGCTCCTGGCCCCACTCAGGTCCACGCAGTGCGACAGGAGATGGGACGTCTTGCAGGAAGGCGAGTCAGACGTCTGCTCTTGAATGGGCAGCAGGCGACGGAGGAACTGACCAGTGGCAGAGGGGGCTGTTGGCAGGGCTGACCCAATCCCAGGAGGGCTGCACACTTGCAGAACACACAGTGCTTCCCTTGTTGTGCGTGAGGTTGTGGCAGAAAATCTGAAAGCTCTTGGCCACTCCCGTAAGCTACATTTAAAAGGCCAGTTGCTTAGGTAGGTGGTTGGGCAAGGAAACTGGACAAACCAGCAAAACTTGGAGCTGGGAATTTCCAGTTCCCATGGGGAAGGCTTGTTTACAAAAAAAAAAAAAAATCTGCATGATGATTATTAGGTCTCTTTCTTTGCCTGCTAGGTTTTCTCTCAGCTCTTGGGAGGAGAGGACTTTTTTTTGTGGGGAAAATGTATACTATGAGCACGACCTTCCAAGTATCTGTGTTCCGAGGTGATGCTGGTTTAGGTCCTTTTAAAAACATATTCCAGGTCCGAGCCTCATTTTGAAGAGTAGCGGAGGGGTACTGCATGACTTAGGAAATGCTTTTGGCTGAAGAATAATCAAATGCCTGAATGTTGTTGTTGTTGTTTTTAATGGAGTGAATAAATAAAAACTCTTTCTTCTTCCCTGGAGTTGAGAACTGAGAAATAGAGGAGTCAGACAGAGATAAAAATGTCAGCCTTACAGCTGACCAGCTGACCAGCTGACCAGAGAATACAACTTTGTCCCTATTGCCAAAGGACTTACTAGTTTTCTCTTGCTGTGTCACAAACGACCACAGACATAGAAGCTTCAAATTTCCATTAGTTGTGTCTCACCTTTGTAGGTCAGTGGTCCTGTGGGCTTGGATGGTAGGTGTGCTCAACATATTGCAGGACCAAAATCAAGGTGTGAGCCAGACTGGGCTCTCGATCTCTGGAAGAATCTGCTTCCAGGCTCATGCAGGTTTTGGCAAAAAAATAGCCTCTATGGTTGTAGAGCTGAGATGCAAAATCCTCCTCCTGCTTTGACTCTGTCTGACTCCCCTCAGGCTGAGTTGGAGGAAGTTCTCTGTTCTTAAAGGCTCAGGTGATCACATCAGGCCTGGGAGGATAATCTCCCTGCCTTGTGGTCAACTGTACCACATCTTATCATGCAGTGGGGGGGGGTGTGATATCTCATCATATCACAGATTCTGGGGATTAGGGTGGTTTGTCCTGGGGGGACGTTTTTGACATTCCCCCTCTCACGCACTGAGTCATATGGTCATAGGAGCACAGACCTCCTTCACAAGGCAGCTCTTCCTCTAATCTTGCTACATGGTGGAGAGAAAAGCAGAATGCGCTGCTTTGCAGGAAGATGGTCCCAGATCTGAAGGTGCTCAGCTTCTGAGTCCTCCAGGTGCTCAGCTTCTAAGTCACCTATGTGGTTGAACAGTGGGGACAGAGGCTCAGAGTGTTAAACTAGCTGAAGTCCCTCCATGTGGGGCAAGAAGCCAGAACAATGCACATGCCTTCCTGTACCAATTCACAGTGGGCTGAGGGTTTGGACACATATTCATTTCACCG